GAACATACTCCCCCTTGTGATACATAGTGTATCACAACTTAATACTTGAGCCGAGTTGTACATAGAGAGTGGAACAAGCGATCTGCTGATCTGGAATTGAACCGAACTGGAACTGTAGTTGATGATGATAGGACTGATCTTGAGCAGTTAAATAAGGGATAATACATTTTTTTTTTTTAACTACTTGAGCAATTCCTCATATAACAAAAATGACTATTATCACATAACAATTAACAAAATGAATTAACAAAAGAATAAAAATAAAAATAATAATATAATGCGATTACCCATAATGCAATGTGAAGCCATAGGAGCCAACACTCTGTACACAAGGGCCGTCAACGTAGTAGCACTTTACATACCGCAATCATATCATTGTCATACAAATAGAATATAGAGGAAAGAAAAAGGAAACTGTAGGAACATTATATAAATTAATAATAAAAAAAAATAAAATAAAAAAAAATATGTTTATTGAGTAGGAAGTAGGAAGTAGGAAGCAGCTTCACTACTGATCTTGTTATAAGGCCTTGCTTGGTGAGTAATTTTACTACCCTAACCACTCCGTCTGGACCTGGTAGAAGCTCTTGGACGCGACCTAGTTTCCATAGTAAAGGAGGAGAAGTGTTGTCCTTAATAATAACTAACTCCCCCAATTTAATGTTTTCTTGGTTAATTAACCAACGTCCTTTGGTCTGAAGGGTGTGTAAATACTCGTTAGACCAACGACGCCAAAATGCCTGAAATACCTGATGGAGGAGCTTCCAACGGTTTCTAAGGTGTATCAAACTGACAGGGACCTCAGCTTCAGGCACTGCACACAAGGGTCGACCAACAAGAAAATGACCTGTGGAAAGGTAATCTAGATCGTTTGGATCATTAGACGATGGTGTTAGTGGTCTTGAGTTAAGTACAGACTCTATTCTACACAAAACCGTAGAAAACTCCTCATTAGACAACACCTGATTGCCAACCACCCGTACTAACAAGAGCTTTGTAGAACGTACCGCTGCTTCCCAGAGCCCACCAAAATGAGGTGCACTGGGGGGGGGGGGGGTTAAAATTCCATGAACACACAAACGCTGAGCTAAACTGCTCGCGATTCCTTGGATCATTCACTAGATCATGTAGCCTTTTCGATGCACCAACAAAATTAGTACCACAGTCTGAATATACTGCGGATGGCAATCCTCGTCGAGCTACAAAGCGGTTGAATGCCGCCAGGAAGGCATCGGTTGACAGATCAGTCACAAGCTCAAGGTGAACTGCCTTGACACTCATGCAAACAAAAACAGAAATATAAACTTTATATTGTCGGGCCTTTCGCAGATTAGTCTCCTTCATAATAAGGGGACCAATATAATCTATGCCCACACTAGAAAAAGGATGGCATTGCTGAACTCTAAAGTCAGGTAGATCGGACATGACCGGCTGCAGGTTACGAGCTGATAACCTGACACAAACAGTACATTCACTAATTGCGCGACGAATAACAGAGCGATCACCCACTATCCAGAACTGTCTACATATTAAAGCTGACATGAGACGTGGACCTGCATGACAAGCAAACAGATGCCAATGCCGAGCAATTAGTAATGACAAATATGATGCCTTTGACAGCAGGACTGGGAACTTGCGTCGATCTGATAGCAAGGAATGACGAAGACGACCTCCTACCCGGATGACACCACAGTCATCGATGAACGGCGATAAACGTGCAAGTGGCCGACAGGAGACAGCCTTACCAGAAGATAACTCAAGAAACAAGGATTTCAAGAACACACCTTGTGAACACTTGATAACAGCTGGCAATGCATCATTATACTCCTGGTATGAAAGGAAACTAGTGTCTACCGGGACCTTGCGACACAATTTAATAAGACGTTGTAAACGAATAATAACTCTCAACATACGATTTAGAGACGAGAAGCGAGAGAACCACTCAATCGGCTCTCCTGTAGTTTCAACAACACAAGACACAGGACCTGTGACCTCAGGCAACTGGTCTGAGGGAATCAAATTAACTTCTGACGACCAACTCTCACCGAACTGGTGGAGGAAGGTAGGACCTTTCCAATAAAGATCATGCTGAGCTAGCTCACCAGGTCGTAAACCTCGAGAAGCACAATCTGCTGGGTTCATGTCAGTGCTAACATAAAACCAACTACAAGACGGTAACAATTCATTTATCTTATGAATACGGTTAGATACAAAAATCTTATACGAAACATGGGGGGTTTTAACCAAGATAGCACTACTGACGAGTCAGACCAAGCAAAAACGTTTTTTATAGTTATCTGAGTGGAGAGAGTAATCTGAATGCGACTTAACCAATGAGCGAGCAACCCGGCTCCACAGAGCTCAAGGCGAGGAATAGACATGGCTTTGGTTGGTGCCAGTTTGGTCTTACTACCTAGCAAGAACATAGAGACCCTACGGTGGCGATCTAATACTCTTAAATAAACTACAGCTGCATAGCCTTTGATAGAAGCATCAGAGAACCCACATAATTCATATTGTGACCCTTCAGAGGTACCAACAGACCTTGGTACTTGAATCGTGGATAGGTAATGTAACTCATTAACAAAGGACATCCAAGAATGTTCTAGTTCCAACGGAAGCCGATCATCCCATGAAACACCAGACCGCCAAACACATTGCAACTGATGCTTAGCATGAAAAATTACAGGGGATAAAAAACCAAGTGGGTCATAGATTCGCGCAATCACCGACAACATACTACGTTTGGATGAAACAAACTTGATTGAACTGACATTGTAGTTGAAGGTGTCGACATCAGGATTCCACTTCATACCCAAAATCTGAACTTGAGGTGAATTGTCAATGTTGAATGGGAGAGAACCAGCTGCTCTATCTTCCGAAGGTATGTTCTCCAACAGCTGAAGAGAATTACTAGCCCATTTCTTTAACTCTAGGCTAAACTGGCTGAGAATAGAAATCAAATCATCTTTAAGGGCTTGAGCTTCCTGGAAGCTATCTGCCCCAGTACAAAATAAATGTCGTCCATGTAAGTTTGATACATAATAGCTGCCTGTACCAGAGGATATTGTTGACCATAGACAACCGCTATTTCCTTCAACACTCTCAGTGCTAGGTAGGGAGCTGTTCCAACACCATAGGTGACAGTGTTCAATTCAAACTCTTGAACTTTGTCGTGAGGAGACGCTCTCCACAGAATATGCTGGTACTGACGGTACTTAGGAGCTATCAAAATCTGTCGGTACATTTTACAAATGTCAGCTGTAAAAACAACTGAGTGGATACGAAAACGAAGTAGTATGTCCACTATATCCTGTTGGAGCTTAGGACCCACAAATAAAGCATCATTAAGGGAGGTGTTTGAAGGAGGTCGAGGTGACGCATCAAATACTACCCTGAGCTTCATGTTGTCCCCTTCCATCTTGTGAACTGCATGGTGAGGGATAAAATATGAACCAGGAGACTTGACAGGTGACATATGACCGAGGGATTCATAATCCGCCATAAACTGTTTGTAAGCCAAGTATAAGGGTTTGTCCCGAATCAATTTACGTTCTAGACGTTCAAAGCGAACAAGTGCCAACTGGCGGGAGCCATGAAAAACGAATGATGTAGGTGGGGTACGAAAAGGAAGCGGCACCACAAATCTGCCAGAACTGTCACGGTAAGTTTCCTGAGCGAATATCTCTTCACATCTTCCTTCTTCAGTGAATGATTGTGGCGCCTCATCAGGTTCTTCAATCTTCCAAAATCTCTCAACTAGAGATTCAATCGAAGTTGTTAATAAGGAAATCATCATAGTCTGTTGCGGAGCTGCTGGTAGAGATGGATCAACTGGACCAAGGAGAATCTAACCGAAGATTGTAACAAAGGCAGTAGGTAATCCAACACCTAAGTCATGTCTTCTTCTGCGGATCACTTGACTGAATACATCTGCACCAAGCAGCAATTCAACCGGAGCTGGTGAGTCAAAATTAGGATCTGCCAAAACTAGATGAGAGCACTTGTTCCTGACGGAGACCGGTAGTTGTGCCGATGGCATTGACCCTGTTATTTTAGGCATAGTCCAAGTAGAAAGGTTGATCATGCTGCCATCTGTAGCCGATTGGATGCTGATCTGCACTCTGCCATTGATGGATTGCACTAACTGACCTGCTAGACCAGCTACTGGGACTGTCCACTGTTCACAGAATAGACCTAGACGTTTAACACACTCAGAGGTCATTAGACTCACTTGGGAAGCGGGGTCAATCAAAGCCTGAACTGGCTGCAAACACCCAGCTACATCACAGACATTGACTGAAGCGGTGCCCAACAAGACCGATCTGGAATGTTGAGTGCCAATATACGATGCAACAGGATCCTTGCTTGGAGGTATCTTGGCATGGGAATTATCTCGATGTAACAGCTGGTGATGACGACCGTGACAAACAGAACATGAGGACTTACATTTGTTTGCCCAATGATTGCTACCGAAACAAACCATACACAACCTGTGCTTGCTCGCTAAAGCGTAGCGATCATCGATCGACAAGTCCTTAAAGGTAGAGCATGACGTTAAAGAATGAGAACCGTTACACTGCTCACAACGATGAGACTCTCCAGCTGGTTTGTTAGCAACTAACGCCACTGGAGAACCTTGATGGCTTCGAGGGGCCTTAGAGGCCGATTGGTTTGGCTTGGAATTTGTATGCTTAGGTTTATTGAAGACGAGCTTTGCTTGAGGCTTAACTGTGGTCTGGATCAAAGATGAACCAGAGTTTTCCAACACCTCTACCCTATCTTTGGCAAAGTATAATAGACTATCAACAGTAGGAAAATCAGCCGTGTTTCCCTGTTCAAACAGACGGTGTGTAGTTGAAGGCAAACAACGAACTGATATTGCAAATAACAGGAATAAACCTAAATCAGGTATATTCAATGATTGAAGAAGAGCTATGTTCTCACAAAAGGTATTCAAAAAATTAATTAGTACTGCAGGAGATTCCTGATGGTTAATTTGAGCATTGAGCATTTCATTAACCAAATTAGTAGCCAACTGACGAGGTTTATCATACCTTTGAACTAAGGCAGACCAAGCAAGTTCATAAGTGGATTCCGAAACCGTGATACCCTTGACTACATCACTTGGACCAGACTGTAAACATCCTAATAAGTAATAGAACTTCTCTATATTACTCAGGTGTGTCCTATTGCCCACTAAAATGGTGAAACGGCAATGGAATCTTGGGTAACTTTTCATAATATACTTAATATCATGATATAACTTTCATAACAATAACCACATGTATTGTATAAGCATAAGCCAAAAAAACAACTATATTTATAGCAATAAACGATACTAAGTCGAACTGACAGTGAACGAGACTAGACACCAACGTCGAAGCGAGACGGCAGTGAATGTCGAAAAAGCGTCCATACTCAGTGTCGCCAACACTGGCAAGAGAACGTTAGCCAGTGGCACCTAGGTCGGGGCGCGAACAACTTCACTGAATGTTTATACAGTAGACGCCGCTTATAAGACTCACGGATATAAGGTTCAATCGCTTATTAGACTCAACATCGTCTGGAACGGTCCGGACATATCCAAATACATTAAAAAAAAATCGGTTATACTTAAGACTCAACACTTCAGTTATAAGAATAAGACTCAAATTTCGTAAAATAAATAGTAGAAAATAAACTTTTTTGGTTATAATTTAGAAATACATTGGTAATGAAAAATTAAATAATATTCGTGTTGATTATTTCTAGTTTCTGGTGGTGCCTTATAAGTTATAACGTATAATAAAAATAAATAATAAATACATTATAATATGTACATACATCCTTTAAAATTTTTTATTAATGTATAATTTTTATAATATTTTTATAGGTAATATTTACCTAATATAATTTAAGTTTTTTTTTTTTCAGGATTATTAAATTTATTCAATAATAAAGTATGTAATATGTAATATGTGTTAAAGTATTAAAATCAAAGCAAAATATGTAGTAAAATAAAATTTATAAATACGCAATAGTTTTTTTTTTTTTTGACTTCGCCTATAAGATTCATTCGGTTATGAGACTCACTTTGTGCTGGTCCCAAAGTGAGTCTTATAAGCGGCGTCTACTGTATTAGCATTTCCTATACACCATACAGTTTTGAAAATATTTTGACTCTTTTTGAGCTTTTTTTCGGACATTTTTCTCGCAAACATATAGTGAAGGAATTCACACTGTACACCTCAACACCGACCTGAACATGCCACTTAACGTTGCAGAAGTGCTCGAAGAACACAACACATCAAAAACCATAGAATTTCTAAATATTACCAATATTATCAAAAAATTGTAAATTCTGTAAATAACAAATAATTACACCATAAATGTAATACCTAATTTTAAGAAACATATATGTAAACCATTGTCAGGCTAATAACCTTAGCTGTTGAAGCCTTATTCTTTAAAAAAAAAAAAATAAAAAATTTTTTTTCAATTTTTGAAAAACTCGTTTTTATTGATTTCTTGTAACTCAAAAACTAATAATTTTTGGCACATGAAACTTCCAAAATATATTTATTTTAGCAATTTCCATGGATGGATTAATTGAAATGCATTTTAAGTTAAAATTTGAGAAAATTCATAAAAATATCGAAAACATTCAAACTATAGTTAAAGATTCATAAAAGTCTTTTTTTTCATAGTATTACAGAAACGAGGTAGAACTAGGCCATTGTAACCCAAAGGACCCAACTGTAATGCTAGAGAACAATATCGTTGTTGGCGTCTTCATAATTAAAGTGGCAACAAAACTGGCTACGCCGTAAAAGTATGGAAGATAGGCAATCTAATATGCACTACAACAATATTACGACGAGGATGGGAGGCGAAATACATGGGATATAGGAAAAGTCTGTTAATAGGGGAGGGGCCTCTAGGGTCAACTTGGTATGGTGCAATGACCACAGAGTTCACATGAAATAGACCAATTTATCTTTAACAGCTGAAGTTTGGTGATGGTTGGCAGCTGGCAGAAGTGGAGAGAAATACCGAACTGGGTGAACTATAGGCAGCCTCTCACACACTCAAGGTACTAACGGACTTACACAATGGACGTGCAGAACCTAAAGACCTGGATGTCCTCCTGACGCGGATCCAGGAAAACGACGTTTGAACTAGATCCATTTTTTAGATTATTAAAATTAGAGCTCTAATTATGCTTCAAAGAATAAACAATAATTGAATGTAATATTATGCTATGTGATGATAAGTGTTGTTACTGAACGATTCTTGTAATTGATTTCATTATAATTTCATATTTATCATATTAATTTCATTATTTTTTAAAGAAATAAGAACGTGAATTGATTCGTTATTTTTAGAAATAGGAACTTAAATATTATCTTCTTTTGTTCTTAGAGAAATTTAAAGTGATTCCATCGGCACCAAAATGTTATCAGCTTTTGATCATCCATGTAATGGTAGATAATTATGTAAGTTATATACTTATACATTCCACATATATTAGTATACAAATATTACTTATTCTGCTAGTATAGTTGGCTATTTTAAACATAGTATATTATTCGGTGATTGGTCAAAAGGCAAAATTGTCAAGTCAAAATTATCAAGTGTTCAGGAGGTATATCTATACATTCATAAGTCTTGTGTAAATCCAATTTTGTTCATTTTTTTATTGGAGTTGAATCAATTATTAATTTAATGATTGGAATATTCAAAATAAATCATAAAAAATAAACGTTTAGAAATAATACATCACATTTATGACATATATCATTCTTCCATTCCTTAAATGATAATTTTAACTTGTGAAATTTATCATCATACAGTTTTCTTAATACATGATTTGTAAGACTCCCACAATATAAACTATACAATTTTTTAAGATTAAAATATAATTGATGTATGACTTAACCGTCTGGACCAAAAAAAACCATACAATTATGTAAAATCGAAATGAGTCAAAATCTCATTTTTGGAAAAATCTGACTTAACTCTTTTTGATCAAGCACACAAAATATATAAAATACTTTTGTTTTTATACTGATATTTTAAATATGAATAAAAAATACTGTTTTAATTAAACTTTATACTTGGGATTGGTGCATATTTTATTTATTATTGAAAAAGGAGATAAAATGAATGTATTTGTTTGTATAAAAAGTAATTTATGCAAAAAAATAAGTGAGCATATATAAGTAATGTGAAGAGAAGAAAAATATTCTACTTACTTTTTATAATATAAATTTAACCTTTTCATAAAATGGTCATTTAACATTTAAAAAAATTAGTATGTAAATTGATACCAATTTTACATGAAAATTTGATTACATTTTCTTTTGCAGATGGGTTAATTTATAGATGATTTATAGATGAACAAATACATTTTTTTAGTGGATGGAATATTTATTTAAGTTAAGTTTTAACTTTGCTGTTTTTGCTTTATATATAATATAAATTCAAATTCAAATCGCATTGAACATTTGTTACTTTTTTATGTTTTAGAGTATATATTAGGTTATGTTCTAATGGAGAAGAAAACTGACAATTATTCAATAAAGCTGTACCAAACAGACAATGGCTTAGTCATTTTACAAGCTAAACACGCAAAATATGTCGCCAACGACTAGTGCATTAAATCTGCAAGTCGTAAACTTTGGTAAGGTTTAATGAACTTAAGAACATTTTTAAAACTTTGTTCTTATAGGGTAACTGGGTATGAAGAAAGAATGTGAGGACTAGCAACAGGACAAATTCTTAGTAATTTAGAGAAAACAATATATCAATATAATATAAATTACTTTGTTCATTGACATATAATATTGCTATTCGATATAAACAAATTTATACAGTGAGTTAACACTAATTTGGAACCGTCTATATCTTTGCGTGGAGCCCTGCAATTTGAATTCTGCTTTCTAGCTGGTTTTTAGGACATAAAAATAATCTATTTTAGGGCCTTAGAATTTTGTAAACTTAAAATTCAAACACCAATTTCAACCACAAATTTATTGCCTAATTTTTTTTATGCTATTAGGTAGTTTAACCAAATTCCTAAGCCTAAAATTGTCCAAGTTACAGAAAATAAACAAAAACACTGTAAAATACTCGTAATTTTCTGTTTTTTTTCTGTAACTCCGAACATAATTATTTTAAGATTTTTTAGGATTAACATTTTTAATTAAAGGTATATAAAAAATAGTTAATTTTATAATGCCTGATAAAATATGAGCATTAGTAATTCTAACATAAGTATTAGCTTAGATGTATATCCCAATTTAAAATAGCATAGGTAATTATTTAGGTAATTCCAATAGATTCATTTAATGTAAAAAAACAACATATGTACTTATTTACGTTTTTTCTGCTTCAAGCTATTCATACACAAATTAAAGTGAAAATTGATAATAATGTTTATTTCGTCAAATTAATGTTAAGCCTAAAAAATCAAAGAATAATAATTATTTTCAGTTACAGTGAAAAAAACTGAAAATTTCGTGCATTTTGCGGTATTTAAACATTTGTGGTTAAAATAGGGTGTTTGCCATTTAAGAAAAAAATTTGTACTGCACATGCGCAAGTCTCATTAAGCTTACAAAATTCAAAGGCCATAAAAATGTGTATTTTTATGTCCTAAAAACCAACTAAAAATCAGAACTCAAATTGCAGTTCTCAAAGCAAAGTTATCGACTGTTCTCAATTAGCGTTAACAGTTTTACACACTGTATATTTTGTTAAATTATTAATAAGGATGTGTTGTTATAATTTAAATATTTAATAATCATGTAAAGTAAAATAGGTAAATACACTAAACATTACGATTAAAGTCTCTATAAGATAACCTTCATAACAGTAGCGTTTCTAGGATTTTTTCAAGGGGGGGGGATATAAAAATTTTAATAGACATGTTGTAACGTGTAAAAATAATTATAATAATTAGTATCATAATCTCGTATAGTTTAATTTCTAAAATCTAAAATTAATACAAATTCTAAAAACAACAACCGATTGAAACTTTTATTAATTATCATTGATCACGGACTTCAGTTAACTTACAACAGTCATGTATGATTCAACTATTCTGGGTAAATACAACTTATTCTACCTAAATTAGAATTTTTTTTCGTGACGCGTGTTGACATTAATCTTTTAATTTGGTCAAAATATGACTTAAAAAAAATAAATGGGTTGTGTGGCTAAAAATATAAAATTACCGCAAACTGCTCAAGAATCGAA